GTGGATAAATGTGTAATATGTCTAAAGTTGAACTGCGTATATTTTAAAAGTTTTCACGAATTTCCAAATGTCAGTAATTTCTGTATGTGCAGGTAGCAGCGCCAGCAGCATGAGTTAATAAACGTTGATTGATTGGTAAAGTTGAAAAGTTAAGACATTATTGGGTAATTCTGAGAACATATTCGCTAAGTTGTATGCCCAAATTGCCATTCCTGCTTGTTGGAATTATTACGTAGGGGAAACAAAGGGCATTAGCGTTGAAAGGTCAGCGACTCCCGTCATGCTTGTAAAAATGGATTGTCGCCGATAAACACCAGTCTAACATTAAAATAGATCTTACCTGAGAAAAACAACAACTCTTTACTCTTTCCCTGTGACTGTCATTGCCAGTCAGACTTCTCTGTACTAAGCACAGCATTTTGCAGCACTCATCATTGAAAGTATACACTCCTCTGATGGACAAAGTGCACCGATATTTTCGGTTGGAAAGTTTGGGTGATCAGATTGGTTAATGAGGTATTATTGATCGTGTTTTGCGACTGTCGATCACTGAAAATACGAACTCCGTACTTACTGAGTTGCCCTCCTTGCCTCTCTGTCTTAAATATAGTAGGCAGCAGCCAGCTCAGAAACTTTCGTCTCAGCTCCCATGCGAATAATCTTTTGCCAACTACTTCAACAATGATAGCGACTCCTTCCGTCTATTTTACGTTGAAGAATCCCGTCAGTCGCAGTCATCAAATACATCGGTATTTGTCGATTAGCTAACCACACGTATTGCTATGAATACACTGTTTTGTATTTTTTCACCATCGTTACAAATGCATGAACAAAATGCTCCACCGCATGACATACTGTTGTATTGCGTTTGTATTTATAACATGAGGATTATAATTTTATATTGCGTTCCGGAGAAATGGGGCGATAGTCAGCAGGCGTACAATGAACAGCTGAATTTTAAATCTCAATTGTTTTGTCAGTCAGTACTTTGCAAAGAGACTATTATTGGCAAAAAATGTTATTAAAAATAGCTGCCCTATTATAACATAAATCTCCAAATCGGGGGTAGAATGAGTGCAGGAGGCAGCTAAAAGCATCCGGTTTCAGCATGAGCTTAGAGGTACTATTATTTGGACTCTGTTACACTCAGATCATTGTCGAAATCAGAGCTACACCTTGTGTTGCTTATTATATAGGATGAACATCTATTAGGTGATCAAAGCGAAATGCAGCTGGAGAGAATGGCCCAATCCTTCGTCCTACTGCGTCCGGACTAGAATGCTCTGCTCTTCATGTTGTTTGCAATTCACCAATAGGCTGTCCGTTTCTCAGTTGGTTGCGCCGAAGCAACGTGAAGTTAATTTTTTGCTCAAGGGAATTCGCAGTTAAATCAAAGGTTGTTCCTTCAGCGGATTCGAAGCTGGCACCTCTGCGTTTTAGGCCAAATTTTCTTAGGTATTGTGCCACCATGCCATCAGAAACACTTCACGAATTTGTGTCATACCAGTCAGATGAACAGCGTGAACGATGCCGCTTTTCTGATTTGGTAATGGCAGTCTTTCAACGGCTAAATCCACTAGAGCCTTGCGTGCCATCAAGTAATTCTCATAGCGGAGCAGGAAAAATTACATTCTACGTAACTGTGACAGGTTCATTCGTAAAGTACTTAATTCTGTAATTAGTAGAAACAGCTTCTACTCATGGGCTAACAGAACTGCTAGCAGTGCGCATTTATTGTAGAATACATTGCGCAGCATAAATTGTACATTAGCAGAGACGACCTTCGAACTCTATTGCAAACAGCAGCCCTTTAACGTGGCCAGAATATGGTGTCACTGGTCGTAACTTAATCATGTAACCTAACAGTCCCCTGATATTAGTTAGTCGTTGGTTTATGGTTTAGGCTTCTGAGAGTCAAACTGGTCGCAAACTTTATCCTTAAATAAGTGGTTTTTAACTTTTCGATTTAGTTGTTAGAGAATAATACTCTCTGTAGTGAAAGTTATGAAGGCATTGTTCAGTGCTTCAAAATGACGCATTTACTACTGTCAGAAAAAGGAAAGTGTATGAATATTTCATCGTGTTCGATTATCCTGAGATGCAGATTCTATGTCTGAAGTATAAGAACGATAAGATATTCTGCTGCTTTTTCAGGTTCCTCACAAAACTTAACATCCAAAGTTATTTTATTCGATACAACCTTTAAGGTCGAATGTTTTTCCCTTAACGTGAGTAACGTCCCTAACACGATGTACAGTTCATTAATTCATAATAATTAGAAAGCTACCATTTCTGGTAGTTACTGCAGAACAACGAGTTTATAATTGTGCTAGATATTGACTCTTTCACCGATGTTGAGTCTTTCTGACCTATGTTTTATGTACAGATTTTATTTTATGTAGCTTATTTTCAGATGAAACTATCAAAGCTGGACACGACGTAAGCGATGGCGGTCTTATGACGTGTGTTCTTGAAATGGCGTTCGCAGGAAACTGCGGACTTTCTTTAAATCTACCATATGCCGGAGGTGTTTTATAAAGTTGGTTGAGGTTGTCCTAACTACTTATTTACCAGATTGGCTGGACTTGCTGTTTAACGAAGAGTCAGGAATCGTGATTGAAGTTGCTGAGTCGGTGGTCGAAGTAGTGCTCAGTTTGTATGCCGCACGGGCTGTGCCCTGTTGCGTGATTGGATGGAGCATAAAGGCACCTGATCAAGGAACAAATATGGTATATG